CACTCCCCATGACACGCAACGTGGACTAGAGCTGATTCAAATGGCCATGGAGCGGGCGCTTTCGCAAAAATTCCTCTGGCTCTGCCCCATCTTTTCGAGTTAATTTTTTATTTTGGCCCTCATCAACGGTGTTCTTTGATTTCTTCTCATTTGTAGTCCGGCGTCCAAAACTTCGTTATCAATCTCTATGACCCTAGAAATTCGATTTGAGAGTGCTGCTTGAAAAAGGAGAAATCAAACCTTTCCTCTCTTCCTCTGCTGTGGCGCACTGACAGGCTCCGGCGACTTATCAGTATCTTTTTTGTCCACGTCAATTGCAACAGATAAAATTATTTCCCGTCGGATTTTTGTGGGATCATTATCAACCTGGAAAAGACTCTTCAATCAGAGATGACTGTTCGCAACACCCCCAGAAAATGTTAATATCTCGGCCCAAAAAACGTAGGTAATCGCAACCTGTAAAATCAGAATCGCCCTTATAAAAAACCTATACCACAAGTTACCAGTTCATCCGATTAGTTTTCCGTATTTTTAGACAATTTTTTTAATTTTGGAGCCGTTGCAAAATCATAGGACACCCCTCGGAATTCTCCTTACTGTTGAATTTTTTATCCAACCAGCAACGATAGTAGCACTTATCCGGTGTATGGCAACTCTATTAGAGTTACGGTTTGAGTTGCTCTCCTCCCTCCGCGAGTGAAAGCCAGACTTTGCTTTTATACGCGCCTGATGGCTCTACCACGAGCATCGAAGCCATTTTTGGAGCTCAAGGAAAACCATAGCTTGGTACTCCAAATTCTCACTACGAATAGAAATAAGAGAGCACCAGGATAAACAGCAGAACCTTCTCAAAAGGATTGGCTATAACCTCGAAGACTACATCGAACAAAATCACCATGCACGCTCAGCCTGTGTCAGCTCTACGACAGAAAGCGGATAAAACCGAAACCATCCGCAAAATCATTGATATGGACAACTAGCGTAGGGTCCTGCGAAGCGTGCTGCCATACCCGTTAGGCGTTCTGACTGAAACCAGAGAAGAGAAATTCAACGAAAGACTGAGCCAAGGCTGGGCTTTGTTGAGCAAATTTTATTCAAGATTATGAGTGTTTTGTTCCTTTTCAGACCGCTTTTCCCTGGTGAGAAGGAGTTTAATAAGTTGATCTTGTGATAAGTTTGATGAGTCATATGACGTTGTTCGCTACTAGAGGAATATAGGCCAGGTTTCGATGATATTCCCTCAACAAACTTTTAAACTTCTCGTGGTAGTCTCCTAAAGATAAGGGGATGCGTAACCTCATCCTGAGTCCTAGACCTGAAGTTTTTCTTCACTGGAATGAGTTTACTAGAGAGAAGAAAATGCGCAGAAAACCAGCTGCTCTTTTCTCTCTTCGCAGATTCCGCATAAATTACTACCTTTCCAATAAGTAACACATCTGACATCTACGTCGTCTACATAATATTTCTGACGTTCATGGATGGGCCCTCCCAAAAAGAAGACTGTGAGTCGAAGAAGTCAGCCACAGCATTTTCGAAGTCACCAGAAATGGCGAACTTGAGGCCGAACGAACGGCCAGTAAGTGCTTGAGGCGCCTGAGGAAGTGAACGGGCGAGGTCAGGGAACTACGTAGGGTTCGGAGCGGTATCCAGCCAAGCCCTTGAGACCTGGCTATGTGATCTTTGCGATGTGAGGCAGAGCTTTATCATGCAGAAGATATAGAAGACCTCTCTCGATCGTTTTTCTTCAATTGGGCGAGTTCCTAGAGCTGACTGATGCTGAGAGCGAATAGTGGTAGCCGTGAATGTCTGGCCTTGAGAGAGCAACCTGTGATTTAGCACACCCT